GGCCCCGGGGAGGGGAAAGGGGCGGGGGAGCCCTGCCGTTCTGTTGTGGAGCCCATCTATTCCCTCCCTCCCAAGGCAGTGCAGCCTGCTGCCAAAACACGGGACCGGGGAGGCTGGCGGGGATCAAAGGAGCGAGCAGCCAAGGCAACCTGCTCCTACCACTAAGTCAGCACAACAGGAATGGGGAAACCCAGAGAATGTGTCTGGGCTGTTTGGCTAAAGGACAGTTTGTCACAGCCTGCACCTCGGCTCTGCCCTTGTTCTCTGTTTCTTACGCACTCACCTGGTGTCTGGCACAGAGCCGAAGGCACCCCAAGGAAAGGAGGTCTCAAGTGGGGACCCAGGGCTATATGGGGCGCGTTCTGGGGCGAAAGCAGAGGCGGTGGGTGCGATATCTCCCTGCAGAAATCAGAAAATAAACTCATATTGAAAACCTTGAGGCTCCATCCAGTGCCCAGAGGAAGAGCACCCTTTCTGCAGACGACCTGCACTCTGTACCAGAGGCTCTTCGGAGATAAACAGCTCCACCCACACGCAAAACTCCAACGGAGAGAAAGAAGAGCAGCAGAACCAGAAGGGGAAGAGAGCAGCCAGGACTCCACTGGTCCCACATACTTTCCATTTCCGTATGCTTGCTCTGTGGGCTTTCAGTTGGGCTGTCCAAAGGTTTTTTGCTGCCCAGAGCTAGCAAAGGCATGGCTGAAGATGCTGCATCTGCCTGTCCCTACAGCTACGTTACAACTGAAAAGGCATTCTCGATTTTGGGAGCTGGAAACTGGGTCTGGGAAGATTTGAAGGCATCACTGGCATGCCTTGCAAAAAATTCACTGTTCTAGCTGCAACGAGGGGTCATCTTTAATCCTGGAGAGAAAAGCTGTAAGCGAGGCAGAGGTAGACACAAACAGGAGAGATGGGGAGAGGAAGGTGAGCAGGAAGCGTCACGGGGTCACTGCAAAGGAGTTTGACTGGAGAACGGATGGGTGCCGCTGGCCAGGACCGGTGGAGCAGATGTAAGGTGGCAAATAAGCGGGAAGAGGCAGGTTTGAGGGGTGGGGAAGAGGACAGGGCCTGGGAGCAAGGCAGGAAGCGGTGGCTGCTTGTGGGGCTGGGGGGAGGAAGCAAAAAAAATTCTCAAAAAAATAAAAGCAGGAAGGGTGTAAGAGCCAAGGTCTCTTCCATTAGTCAAATCTGCCCTGGGAGCCTGCAAGCAAATCTCTGCTTTCCGGCTGCACGTCTCCTAATTCCTTTTGATGGCCACTTACAACATTATTACCTTCACCAGGGCATCCAGAGGCAAAGCCGCCAAGTGCTGTGCCGTTTATTTTCATTTTACAGTATCTCCCTATAAAATCTGCTTCAGGAGAGGCTGGAGGGCAAGAGAAAGGGAGCAAGAAGGCACGCGTGACTTCGCAACCAACAGACCATACGCCCAACCGTGCCCCACCGATGTGCCAGTGTGGGAGAACGGGAGAGGCCCAGCTACCCCTGCCCCCAGCCCACACTGGGGATGGATTCCCACCACGGCTCATGAAAAGCCAGACAGGGGCTCTTTGGGGACGAGGTGAGCAAAGGAAGGATTCCTGTCCTTCCCGGCGTAGTTTTATCCTCGTTCTGTGCAACAGCCACCACAAATCACAGAATCACAGAATGGTAGGGGTTGGAAGGGACCTCTGTGGGCCATCTAGCCCAACCCCCTGCCGAAGCTGCCCCACGCTGATCGGAACGGGCTGAGATTCCCCGCCGAAATTCCTCCTTCTCCCTGCCCCTTGCCCATCCGCCTGGCTCTGCCTCCCCCCTTCCCGTCTGTCTCTGCTCCCCTTCCCCTGGCCGTCTCCGTCTCTCCTTCCCTCCTCCTTCCTCCCCTAGCTCTCCTCTAAACTAATTGCACAGCTCGCCGTGTCTGGAGGAGAGCCACAGATCGATCCGTCGCTGTTGAAATGTTAATGCTAATCGTATAACCGCTCCGCCAGCGCCTCGCACTTCGGTGGCAGCTCCAATTAATCTCAGGTAACGCAGCGCGTGACCTTCGGCTCGGAGCCGGGGCAGCAGCCAAGCGATGCTTATGTAAGTACACCATGAAGTGTGTAATCACCTGCCCTAATCCCCGAGGCCTCACAATTAGCCGGGGCCTCGGTCGCTGGGCTGCCAAGTGCTTTGCCACCCCGGACAGCCTGCAGATGAATAACGGACAATTAAAGCGGCATGACGGGGGCTAGGAGGTGTCCGTTCGATCGTAATTAGCTGTAATCATGGGGAGACGAGCCTGGCAGACGTGCTGTTCGTTTTATAAGAAGCAATTTAGGAAATCAAGTCGCTTTTAACTATTCCGTGGCCAGGCCAGTGGCCGTGCCCCCCCCGCCTGTTCTAAAGGCAGAAAAGGGGATCCGGTAGGAGAGAGAAGCACGCACAGAAGCCCCAGGCGCAGGCTGCACACGCAGAGCTCGGAAGGAAATGCTAAAAACAAAGAGAACTTCTCAATTTTGGCCCAGAAGAGCCAGTCTGTGCCCAGGATGCCTCCTGTTTGATGGGGAGCAGGACTGGGCGCTGGAAAATAAAAGGCTCTCCCTTTGCTGACAGCCTAATGTTAATCAGAGGCTATTTTTATGCTTTAATGTTCCTCTACGGAGCCTAACTTTGATCCCTAAGGAATTCACATCTGCTTGAGCCCCTGCAGCTCATTCCCTGTGTGCTCTCACCAGAGCTTTGTGGCTTTTCCGCCTTTCGAGGCCAGGGATCGACTCACCCCCCGGACTGCCCGGGGAGCGGTGCCCGGCTGGGAAGGGGGGATGCCAGGACTTGGCAGCAGCTTGGGCCCCAAAACAGCTGAGCCCCGCAGCCCGCTGCGGCTCGCAAGGGGCTGGAGGCAGTCGTAAGAGGGCTGCAAGAAACGGATCAGCAGCGGCTTCCGACGTGAGAGGTCAGCTGCTGCTTATGTTACGCACACAGCACACGCTGGGGATGAGTCCAAAGGTTTAGAAAACTCCGGGAGACACATCCACACACGCTGTCATCATGCCTGCCTGGCACAGCAGACCACACGGAAACCCCAGAGTTGTTTTCTCAGCAACAGTGGAGCTCTGCACCAAGCACGCGTGCAGGGCAGAGCTGCTGGGTGAGGCAGGAGCAGCAGGACCGGGCAAAGGTCCGGCGACCGGCACCGCTA